AAAAAATAAAAATAAATCAAGTCCCATAAAATTCTTTTGAATTGAATTTTAGATTAAAAAGAAAGGATTTGGAAGGGCTTTCGTCACCTCTCATCTACCTTTCCCTCCTATAATAAGCTTACCTAAACAAAGGGAAAGGAAAGACCTCCCCCTCACACTCTCCTCTTTGCCCTCCGACTCCCTCAAATCCCAAGCTCACAGTTAGAACCGAGCAATATAGCTAAATGGCGAGATGATTCATATTTTTTTGTTGTGGTTATTACGACCCAGTATGGTTAAAGTAACAAATTAAAATTTTTTCTTTAATAATTAGTTATAGTATTTGAAAATAACAAATTATAAATAGATTTTAATTTGTTAATTAAATATTAATTATTAATTAAAAATTATAGTTATCAATTATTTTTAATAATTATATTAAATAAATTTAATATTTTAATATTTTTAAAAAATAAATAAATTTATTAGTTGAGTACAATGGATACTTCAATAATATTTTTAATGATAATATTTCAAAATTTATGTGGTCATAACATGCCCATATTTTGATAACAAACTAAACAAACGTATTTTGGCCCATCGATATTTAGATCTTTTCCTTTTTATTAACTGATTTTTTTGTTCAACTAATTTCACATATACCTTCTCGGGAAAAAAAAAAAAAATTCTAGGCATGTTGCCTATTGGACTTCCGTTTACGGGTTTTGTTTCCTTAGCCATGTTGATTTGTTTTTTTTTTTTTTTTGGCCGAGCCGATTTTTTGGACTTGATAAAGTTCTAACTCGTTTCTTATACGATACATAAATTTTATAAAAAATGAAAAGAAAAAACAAAAAAATGGAAAAGTTTCTCATGAGGATACTCAAACCCACAGTCTCCAAGAACTCTCCGAGAACTCCTCCGTGCGCCTCAGTAGATGGCCACACTATTTTCTGCTCCTTGATTCGATTTTAAATTTAAACAAATATTAACTCATTAATTCAGTATTTTTTTTTGTAAAATATATATAATTAAATAATAATATGATTAAAATATATAATAAAAAATATAAATATAAAATTAAAAATAACAATTATTTTGAACTAGACAAAAAATATTTAATATTCATCTTATATTCACAATCTAGAATTTAAATGTTTGAATGCATTTTTTTATCAGTATACCACCTTTTTCTTGTCTCATTATCGTGATTTTATTTAAATTTACATAGAATTTTTCTTTTCATAAATGTATATATATCTATTCAAACCTCGATCTCCATATCAAACTTAAACTTTTCATTTAGGAAGTGAATTTTTCATTTGTCAAAAGTTCCCTTCCTAAATGAAAATTGACAATAATATATTTGCAATATCGTGTAGAATTTAAATTTATAATTAT